ATGTGTTATGTATTATTAATTTAAAATGCCAGTCAATTATTTATTAAATTAGTTTTTATGTGTTATTTTTGTTATTTTATTTTTATTTGTGTATTAAAATTGAAAATTGAAAAATTAATAACCGAAAATATTTTTTTTATTTAAAATATATAATATAACTCATTAATTCTATTTTATTTATATTTTTATATCTATGTTATATCAATATAAATAAAAACAAGAACTTTTTCTGCAACATATACTCCAAGTTTTTAGTTTTTTTTTATAGTGCCTTTTCCAAATTATCAAATATTAATAGTAATGTTTTAAACAATTTTAAACAGTAATTTAAAACTGTTTAAAACAAAAGTGTTTAAAACAATGCCCACTGTTTTAAACAAGTTTTAATCATACAGTTTTAAACATATTGTTTAAAACATGCCAACCCTGGTCCCTAGTTTAACAAAATTACTTAAGAGAAAAGAAGTCCATTTCTCTATCAAAGCCTATCGAAATTTATTAATACCCTTATCTTTACTCAACATATCCTACATTATGTAGAAACGCCGAAATTATTTTTGTACGCAGACAAATAACTGTGTCAAAATGCGTTTTAACAAAAATATTTAAACATATTTAAATGATTAACACCTATTTAAAACATTTAAATATTGAAAATATTAAAAATAAATCAAAATAAATGCAAACACATAATAATTTGTTTATGCACTCATATCAATTAAGTCAATTACATCTATTTATTTCTGCAATCAACATATTAATTGCATTTAACGCAGTTAAAGAATTCGAAAAAATACGCGTTTTTCTTGATATAGCCATAATTTGAAAATAGTTTTATTTTATATACATAAATAATATATTATTTGTGCATTTATTCTCACAAAACCGTATATTCGTGTATATGCTGTAACGTCTCTTTTGCTGAGATGTTATTACTATACATACTTGGCATGAGATGTTACCGCGTGTTTTCATAATTGTTAGCTAGATTTGACTGACGTATCAGTATTTACATTCAAATGAAAAATCATGCGTCTTCTTTTCGTCCTGTTTTCTACTTTTCGACAGAAAGGTTCTTGTATCGTATTCAATTATACGCGTCCAGTCACTTCAAACGGACACAATGTCACTCATGACTAAAGAACATACATGGGAATATTATATAAATCTGACAGATTTTAAAGCACAGTGCAAGTATTGTGAAATTAAATATAATTATATAGAAGATACAAACTTTAAACGTCACATTGAAAGAGACCATGAAAAAATTCGAGAATACGAAGAAGAAAAAAAACTAATAAAAGGGCCATGGATGTATTTCAAGTATTTAAACCAATTATTTTCACAATGTATTATCTGTCATGCAAAATTTCTGTCTACATCTAAATCTGAAGATTTAGAAGATCACTTGAATTCGCATTCTGGACAACAACAAAAGAATCATTTTCTTCAAAATTGGACACAGCAAAATGATTTTGTGGTGGAATGTAATATTTGTCATGCCATGATAAGTTTTTGTATTCGAAACTATCTGGATTTTCATATAAGAAAAACACATTCGGACAAATTAAAAAATATGCAAGAAACACATGATCCAGTTGATTCGTCAGAACGTGTTTCATCATTTGAAACAAACATAACTTTTATGCCACTAAATATTGCAACTAAAAAAAATATGTGGAAACACTATATAAAGCTAACGGATTTTAAAGCACAGTGTGTTATTTTGTTAATGAATGATACTTGCATGAAGTTAAACCTTTCTTTTATTAATAATACTTCTCACACTTACTTCTTTCCTACTTACAGTACATGTTCACACACACACTCCGTGTTACACGTCCGCGCGATCCTCGTTTGTTTTCGAGCGCGGTTTATGAACTAAAAGCGTCGCTAACACACCGCCCACCAAGATTAGATTACTAATCTTTTTTATCGGTATCATCGCTTACATGTAGTTTACAAAGTTTGGCTATAGCTCGTTTACAAATACCATTTGCTGTGCGTACGGTCACGACTCGCACTAAATTATCCTTGCCAGCATGAAGCTCGGTTATGCGACCCGTTTTCCATTTTAAGGGCGGAAGATTTTCATCCTTCAGAAGAACAAGATCGTTGATCTTCACATTTTCCTGTCTTGATTTCCATTTAACACGACTTTGTAGATTGGACACGTACTCGGCCGCCCACCGTTTCCAAAAATCTTGGACGGAACGCTGAATTTTTTCCCATCTATCGAGGCAATTGATCCCAACGTCAATTAAGTCGTTCTCAGGAAGACTATTCAACGGCTCTCCTATGAGGAAATGTCCCGGAGTTAAAGGTTGCAAATCTGATGGATCCGAAGACAGAGGCGATAGTGGTCTTGAATTTAAGCATGCCTCAATTTGCACTAGAGACGTAGTTAATTCCTCGAACGTGAATAAAGTGTTGCCCATTACTCGTTTCAAATGATATTTGCAAGATTTTACTCCTGCTTCCCATAAGCCACCAAGATGAGGTGAGTAAGGTGGGATGAAGCTCCACTCTATACCCCTTTCTTGTAAGGCATCACCAACACTTCCATTAATTGATGAACGTATGAATACGTAGAGTTCACTTAGCTCTCGCTTAGCGCCTATAAAATTTGTAGCATTATCGCTGCAAATTTTGCTTGGTAAACCTCGACGACCTATGAATCTGCGCAAAGCAGCTAGAAACGCTGCCGTTGTTAATTCACTTGTCGCTTCTAAATGAATAGCTCTTGTGGAGAAGCATATAAATAATGCCATGTAAGATTTACACGTTCTCCGATCTCGTCCCTTGTTGACAAGTGTGACTATTGGACCGGCAAAATCCACTCTAGTAATAGTGAATGCTCGCGTAGGCTTAATTCTGTCGACAGGTAAAGATCCCATTGCTTGCGTTAATCCCTTTGGATTGTTTCTGATGCACCAGACACAAGAACGGCAAATCCGTCGCACCAAGTTTCTCGCGTTTAATGGCCAATATTGTTGGCGTATTGAAGCTAATAACAATTGTTGACTGGCATGTAACAAAGTACGATGCTCTCTTTCAATCAGCAAACGTGTAATTTTGTATTGTGCAGGTAACAAGATTGGGTGCCTTCTTTCGAATTTCCATGGTGCCTCTTGAAGTCGGCCGCCCACCCTGAGAATACCATCTTCATCCAAAAATGCTTGTAGTTGATGTAATTGGCTTGATTGACTCAATTGACGTTTATCTTGCAAACTCTTTAATTTCTCTCCGAAGTATATGCGCTGAAAATATTTAATTAACTCCTGTCTGGCCTTATTTAGTTCTAACAATGATAATCTGCCTAAGATCCTATTCTTCTTCTTCTTGCAAATATTAGATATAAATCTAAGACAATAAGCGAAAGAACGCTCAATCTTTGTTAATGTGGAACAATCCTTAGTTAAACTTTCAGTTATCTCATTTAACATTCTAATCGCAGATGGTTGATACATATTTAGATTGCAAACTCGTGATTCCTTTTTAACTTCCACTTCTGCTTCAGAAAGCTCATCTTCCGTGAGTTCCCAATAAAGTTCTTTGTTTCTTGCCAGTAGGTGTGGATTGGTTAACCACTCGGGGCCTTGCCACCACAAATGACTATCCTTGAGTCGAGAAGGCGTAGTTCCTCTTGATATTAAATCCGCAGGATTCTCAGAACCCTTAACATGCTTCCAATGAATGGCAGGCAAAATCTCGATAATTTCAGCTATGCGATGGGATACAAAGGGTTTCCATCGAGAAGTGTCTCCACGAAGCCAGTACAATACAACCATGGAGTCCGTCCACCCGTATATTCCTTCAATTTTTACATGAATCGCTTGTCGAATCTTATCAATTAATCTTGCCAATAATAATGCACTGCATAATTCTAGCCGGGGTATTGACTGCTTCTTTAGAGGGGCTTCTCTTGCCTTTGAACATAATAGTTTGACCGTTATCTCGCCATGAATCTTGTTTACCGATTGTATGTAGAGACACGCGCCATATGCGCTCTCGGACGCATCGCAAAAACCTTGTATATAAAATCGACTATCTTCTAGTGAACTAATAATTAATCGAGGTATTTGAAAGGTATTCACTTCCTTCAAATTCTCTTGGAAATCCTTCCAATTGTCTAAAATCGCTTCTGGAAGTGGATCGTCCCAGTCAATTTTGGTTTCCCAAAGCCCTTGCATTAAAATTTTGGCTACCGTTAGAACAGGACCTATTAATCCTAGAGGATCAAATAGTTTGCTAATCGCTGATAACATTTTACGCTTAGTAGATGCATGCGCAGTTATTTGTACATTAAACTGAAATTCGTCTGAGATCGGATTCCATTCGATTCCTAGTGTTCTAATGATATCGTTCGCATCAATGTTTAAGTTTGAATTTGATTCTCGCAGATCTATCGGCACTTTCGTTAAAGCATCCTCCGAATTCGAGCACCATTTATGAGCCTTGAATCCTCCTTCACGCAATAGCTCAGATAGTTGCTCTTGTAGCATACATGCTTCTTCTATTGTATTCGCTCCAGAAATTATATCATCGACATAGGTATCATTTAATAAGGCGTATGCTGCTTGCGGATAACGTTCACTTCCTTCTACTGCTAATTGTCTCAAGCATCGGACTGCTAAATACGAAGCGCATGCTTGTCCGTATGTGACGGTATTTAAACGATACTCCTTTATTGGTTCATTGAAAGAAAATCGCCATAAAATGCGTTGGAAATCACGGTCGTCAGATTGAACTAACACCTGACGATACATTTTTCTGTAAATCAGCCGTCAAAGCAATCTTACAAAATCGAAAGCGTACAATTATATCGACTAAATTGTC